TGGCTGTACAGTGTTTTGGGACATGTAGAGGTCGTGAAAAGTGCTTTATAAATGCAAGTCTTTCTTTTCCTCTCTCATTATGTCCCCTTAGCACAGGTCTTACCTACAAGTGAAATCACCTTTTCAATATCTACCTTATCAAACTCCTTCATAACCTTAAAGATATCTATCAGCTCACTGCTCAGTCAGGAAGAAGTCCCAGCCTAAACAATTCCTACTGATAGATATATCCTCACAGTTCTGGCATCATTCTGCTCAATCGTTTTTCAACTTCCCCAATGGTCCCACGTTCTTTTTAACCCCGGAGACCAGAACTGTTCACTATGTTTTTAGAAGGCATGACGGGGTATGGAGAGAAAGCAGGAATATAGCATTTAGGGAGAGGATCATCCATGATCATATTGAATGGTGGAGCAGGCTCGAAGGGCTGAATGGCCTACTCCTGCTCCTAGTTTCTGTGTTCTAGGTGCGATTGAACCCAAATTCTATACATTTAACACAGCTGAATCTCAACTAACCTGTTGCAGAATGTGAAGAAAAACCTTATTAAGCTATGGATTCTTAAACTACTCTTCAGAAGTATTTAAATAGCTGCAGAACCCTCCCGGTGCCCTGAAGAAATGAAAAGCACCAAATAAATGCAGGTTTTCTCCTTTGCCTCACTATACATCTAATCTAGGCTGGATAGATTCACCAGGCTGATCCCCGGTATGGAGGGACTGTCTTATGAGGAGAGGTTGAGTGGAAAGTTCCAGTGTTCATTGGAAATGAGAAGAATGAGAGATGTCATGATTGAAACATACAGGATTCTTAAAGATCTCGACAGGGTAGATGCAGGGAGTTTGTTGCCTCTTGTGGGAGAGTCTAGGACCAGAGGACATTGTCTCAGAATAAGGGGTCATCCAGTTAGGACGGAGATAAGGAGGAATTTCTTCTCTCAGAGGGGAGTGAATCTGTGGAATTCTTTAGCACAAAGGACTGTCAAGGCTGGGTCGCTAAGTATATTTAAGGTTGAGACAGATTTTTAATCAAGAAAGGCAATCAATGTTTATGGGGAAAAGGCAGGAAAGTGGAGTTGAGGATTATCAGATCAACCATGATCTCATTATGGTGGAGCAGACTCGATGAGCTGAAGGCACTAACTTCTGTTCCTATGTCTTGTGGTTGTTACTGCCATTACTGCTATGTACCAAGATATCTCTTCATGTTTGTAATTTTACAACACAAAAGAAATGCGTATTTGGATGAGGTACAATACTAATTCATTGAAATGATATTAGAGCTGAAAGGATTAACATATGGTGGCACGTTGTACAGATTAGGCTTAGTCTCCCCAATATTTGAAGGTTCAGGCAGTCAAATTGAGATTTTTCAAACAATTAAAGGATTTGCTGGGCAGAAAGTGAGAAACGTTGTCCTGTGGTGGAGTGGGCAGAACATTCAATTCAAGCCCAGTTGATGTGGGATCAGGGAGGCACAGTCTTAACGGCCAGAGGAAATCAAGAACTCGGTCACCCAAAACACCACTGATTTTGGGGATCCATTGGAAATTTCCAAACTGACATTAGTAGGTTTTCATTGGGTGTGAGTATAAAGGGTTACAGAACCAAAATAGATAATTGGAGTTGAGATCAATCATGATCTCATTAAAGATGTTCTAAGGAACAGAGTGGAGAGGCAATGTGACCTCGTCCGGGTCCTGTGTTCCTGAAAATAATAATAAAAAAACGTGTGCTGGAGATTTGAAACAGAAAGAATCAATGCTGAAGGAAATAATCCCCAGTAGTGTGTGAGAGGCCTCTGGTCACTGACTGACCTAGTGTTTGTCCTTTGCCTGCAGCCTCTGACCAAATGTGTGTTCCCAGTGTGTTCTTGGTTTTGAGAATTCTCTGAGCAGGTCCTGTTCTTGACACCGAACAGTATGAAGTAACTGGCCACTCCTTTAACTTCATGTCAAGTGCTACTGCAAACGGTTGGCTCAGACTGTTCTTAGTCTCTAATCCTCTAATTGATTTAATTATATGCGAGTTAGCAATATGTCCATTTCCCACAATAAATGTAATTATGGGATGTGTATCCTTTATCACTGAACTTCTCTGGTTACATAGTATGATCCAGACCCTGTCTCAAAGTGCAAATAATTAATCCTTGAGCCCATTAATACCCTTAATTCAGACATACAGGAGCCATTTTATATTGACTGCGAGCACACTGGGATGGAGTTGTATCATGTTGGTCCGCAGACTGTCATAGGGATTTTGTTTTTGTTGAGTGCTGGTTTATGGCCATGACTGGCAAGGCCAACATGTTATTGCCGAAGCTCAATTGCCCTTGAGAATGTGGTGATTGGCCTTAACTCCTTCACTATTACAAATGGTTCAAGAAAGCAGCTCACCAGCACCTTCTCAACACCAAGTAAGGATGGGCAATAAATGCTGATCTTGCCAGTGATGCTCACATTCTGTGAAAGCATTAAAAAAAAATGTTTGTATGGTGAAGGTGTCACCAAATATCATCAATGCAATGCAATTAACACCAGCTATTGGCCATCTTCAACAAGACAGACTCTAATGACCTCCCCTCGATATTTTAATGCATTATGATTGCTGACCAACCCATTATCAATATCTTTTAGCTAGTTCTGTTTGCGTGTGCTTGCTATCCTTGATTTCCTAGGAGGTAGAGGTCATGGGGTTGGTAAGAATGGGCTACAAGAGCAATAGTGACAATGTGTAATGTCAACGCTTATTTCAGAAGCAGAATCTGTAATTGGAACAAAGTGGGCATCTGCTGAGTGTGGGAAGGGGCTCGGTTATGGAAAGAAAGATAAACTGGAATTGCGACTCCCTTCTTCAGTACAATAGCTGTTCGGACACCTATTAACGAAATCATTAAATTGTGTTCTTCATTCTCACACCTACCCTCGCTGCAGTGACCCAAAGAGTTTGCTTTGTAACATAATCTGCAATGTTCTTTTTGGAGGAGCCAGTTGTTTTATATTTGGCAGCGGATGTCCTGTGGGCCGTCAGTGCTGATGTTATGCATTGCTACGTACACACAGAGCAACAATGCCACATCCATTGTATGTTGTTTCTGCCTTTTCATGTTGAAGTTTCCCTTTCTAAAGACTGCAGCAGCTGAATGGTTAAGTTTCCAGTGTGGTGTATCCATATTGCTGCTCAATACACAACAGAATCATGTTGTCACAGCCACTTGGACCCTCTGATTGTGACGTAACATACACCACCATCATTTAACATCGAACTGTAGGATTAAACACAGGAGGCCATTCATCCCATCTTGCCTGTGAAAAAAATAATGCAGTAGGCCCCATGTGGAGCTTCCTGTCAGTAGTTCTTTAAATTTCCACTTTTCAACTATTTATCCAGTTCCCTTTGGAATGTTCCCGAAGAAGCTGCTCCCATTGCCAACAGGCAATGTGCACATAGCAATGTGATGTTGGTTGAGAGATAAATACTGGTTGGGAGACTGAGGGGAACATCCTTGAGGAGGGTGGGGCAGTGGGAGTTCTATTACCTCCACCTGCGCGAGCGGGCAGGGCCTTGGTGTGAGAAATATAACTCTGCAATGTGCCATTGTACCCTCTGAGCTTCCCTCTATGGCCATGATGTGGAGGCGCTGGTGTTGGACTGGGGTGGACATGGTAAACGTGTGATGAGGCTTCACCTGACAAAGGGGCAGTGCTCCAAAAGCTTGTGATTTCAGATGAAGCCTTTGGACTATAACCTGGTGTTGTGTGACTTCTGACCTTATTCCTCGATTGTGAGTGTGCCTCAGACATTAGGCAATGGGAGTTAGTTAGACAGCAGTCCCAATATTAATATTAATGACCATAAAATGACATAACACTCCTCATAGCCTTTGAGGGAGCAGTGGCTTAGCAATTATGTTGTCTGTCTTGAAATCTAGAGGACTGCAATCTGGACACGTAGGTTCTAATCCCAGCACAGCAATTGATGGGATTTAAATTTAATTAATTAATAAATCTAGAGTTAGAAAGCTAGTATCAGTAACGGTAACCATGAAATCACTTGGTAAAATCACATCTGGTTCACTAACATCCTTTAGGGAGAAATCTTGGCCGTTCTTTCTTGGTCTGGTCTGTGTGACTCCAGATCTACAGCAGTATCATCAACTTGAACTCTGTCGCTTAGTGAGGCATTTAGCACAATCAAACTGCTACAGAAAGGGTGGATCCTCATAAGATCTGACTACACTGAGAAGAAATGTCTTCACCCAGAGAGGTTTTCTTTAATTCATTCATGGGATAAGGGCATCACTGACCAGGCAGCATTTATTGGCCATCCCTAATTGCCCAGAGTGCAGTTAAGAGTCAACCACGTTGCTGTGGGTCTGGAGTCACGTGTAATCCAGACCAGGTAAGGATGGCAGTTTCCTTCCTTAAAGGACATCAGTGAACCAGATGGGTTTTTCCCAACAATCGACAATGGATTCATGATCATCATTAGGCTCTTAATTCCAGATGTTTATTGCATACAAATTCCGCTATCTGCCGTGGTGGGATTCAAACCGAGGTCCCCAGAGTGGGGAGCCTGTGGAACTTTCTGCCACAGAAAGCAGTTGAGACCAAAACATTGAATGTTTCCATAAAGGAGTTAAATATGATGCTTAGGGCTAAAGGGATCAAAGGACATTGCTAGAAAATGACTGGGACTGAGCTGGATGATCAGCCATGATCATTTTGAATGGCAGAACAGGCTTGAAGGGTCGAATGGCCTATTCCTGCTCCTAATTTATATGTTTACATATTTACACTAATCTTGTTTTCCGTATTGCATGATCATATATTCCAGCACTTTACAAATCATATCCTCATTGATTTGATGATGGTTAATGTAAGGCAGTTGTATCCCAGGGTAAACCTATTGCTTATGGAATGCTTGAGGTACATACAGAGTTTATCCAACCGGTAGGGAGAGGTGATGTACTTTCCTGAACCTTTTGCATTGTTTTCACAGGTGCTAATTCAAGCCTTCATTGGAATGACACTGACTCAGCAAATTCAACCATCATCACTATGGTCAATAGTAGCATTGCAGAGGTAAGTGCTCACCTGCCACCCTGCTGATAATAGCTGCCCTCCCATACAGACCGAGAATGGGACTGTGGAGCTGAGTTCTCATAGGCTTTTTGCTCGCTAGGTCTGTCCTGGTTGCGTTGGAAGAGCTTTTATTCAGTTGAACGCCACACAGTTTGGTGAATGTATGTGTAAATGCTGACAGAACCTGTTGTTATGTTCCCCTTCTCTCTGCCCTCCTTAAAAATGCTAATTGAAACCTACCTTTTTCACAAAGGTCATCAGTCCTGAAATCTCCTTGTGTAACCAGAAGCCAGTATGTGTTTGAAAATTGCTCCTGAAGTGTCCTTGGATGTTTTCATAGAATCATACAGCATAAGAGGTCTTTTGGTCCAGTAAGCCTGCACCAGCTCTCTGAACGAGCTATCCAGTAGTACCATCCTTTTACACTTTACCCAACATGGTGGGGTGGCACAGTGGCTCAGGGGTTAACACTGCTGCCTCACAGCGCCAGGAACCTGGGTTCAATTCTAGCTTCAAGCAGCAGAATCCAAAGATATGTGGATTGGGCCATGGGAAATGCAGGGTTACAGGAATAGGGTAGGGTAGGGGAGTGGGTCTGGGAGGGATGCTCTTCAGAGGGTTGGCGTGGACTCGATGGGCTGAATGGCCTCTTTCTGCACTGTAGGGATTCTATAAAAACACACTCCTGTACTATTTATTCAATTCCCTTTTTGAAAGTTGCTGTCAAATTTGTCCCTACTGCCCTTTCAGGCAGATCACAACAAATCATTGTGTTAAAATAATTCGCTCCACCTACCTCAGTTTTCTTAAATCTGTGGCCTTTGGTTACCAACCCTCCTTGTCTTCTCCTATTTTAACCCAATCAGTCTTCATAATTTTGAGCAGCTGTATTAAGTCATTACTTGGTTAAACATCAAAGGCACTAGTCGAATGCAGGTTGTTGTTGATGGATTCGGGGCATGCATTCTTGTGAGATAGATGCTGCTAGAAGCTGAATTGTCAGTTTGGTGCTGGAGGTGGTTAGTTTTCTGAAGGGACGGTGTTAGTCTGGGCTGGATACAGACTGGCTCCAATTATACCATGTGTGGATTAGCTGAGAGTGACTTGCAATTTCCCAATCACCATCAAATGTTTTACTGTGAGATCTGGAATAGACTGCCCCTTTACTCCTCATTCCCCATGATTGAATTTTCATTGTAGTTCACTTTACGGGTTCCATCTTCTGAATTTTTATTTAAATTACAGTATTTCATAGAAACATTGACAGTGGGAGCAGGAGTAGGCCATTCGGCCCTTCACCGTTCAGTATGATTTGTAACTCAGAACTCCAGCCTAATATTCTGGAGATGTGGGTTCAAAACCTACCAGGGCAGAAATGTGTATTCAGTAAAATCTGGGATTAAAGGCTGGTCTCACAGCAACCATTGTCAACCTGCAGGTGGGAGGAGGATGCAGAGATGCTTCCGTGTGAATTACACAAACTGACGGAGTGGGAAAATGCATGGCAGGTGATATAATGTGGGTAAATGTGAGGTTTGGGAGCAAAACCAGGTTTTATTATGAAAATGGCGACAGATTGGGAAAGGAGGAGATGCAATAAGACCTGGGTGTCCTTGTACACTAGTCGCTGAAGGTAAGTGTTGCAGGTGCAGCAAATGGTATGTTGACCTTCATAGTGAGAGGATTGGAGTACAGGATCGCAGATGTGTTCCTGCAATTATACAGGGCCTTGGGTGAGACCAAATCTGGAGTATTACTGTGTGCAGTTTTGGTCTCCTTATCTGAGCAAGGACGTTCTGGTGATGGACGGAGTGCAGTGAGGGTTTACCAGACTGATTCCTGGGATGGTGGGACCGACGTATGAAGAGAAGTTCAATCCATGGGCATTGTTACTACACCACGCTCCCCTTTACATAGAGTGTTAGATGTTGAATCTTTGATTAGGTTCACTTTCTGTGTTTCGATATAGCCCAAACTGAACAGTTCTGACACTGTTGTTTCTTTCCTGTACAATCCTTTACTACCAGACTGCTGCAATTATTCGAATTTCTAATGGTTTGCCTCTCGTGTTATGTGCTTTGAGCCAGCTGTGTTACCAGTTGTGTGTCAGAACTTAAGCTCGCTGTGACCCACTCATTTCAACCAACATGTACGAGGAGAGAAACCGAGAAAAAGAGAAACAAAATGAGGGGCTGGTGTGTTCCAGAGAAGTTTCTCAACCATCTAATTGCAGAGCAGAGTGGACATGAGAAAAAGCTGCAGAAACTCAGCAGGTCTGGCAGCATCTGCACAGAGAGAAACAGCGGTAATGTTTCCAGTCCAGTGACTGTTCTTCAGGATGTGTTGGGGGGCTGGGATTTCTTTGTCTCCTGAAGAAGAGTCATATCACAGTCGAGATGTTAATTCTGTTTCTGTCTCCACAGATGTTGCTGAGTTTCTCCAGCAGTTTTTGTTTTTATCACAGTGATCTGCTTTTCTCATAAAATTGGAAAGGGGTTTTAAAATAGATCCTTTTACTCTCTTTGTAAACAGCCACAGCGACATGAAATGGAGGAGAATTTGGGGTGAATGTAAAAGTTAACATTTTATCTGGAATGTGTCAGTGAACGCAGGAACGGGGAGAAGGCCATTCAGCTCCTCGGGGGTGTACCGTCATTCAATTAGTCATGGCTGGTCTAAATATTAATTCTGCTGACCCAGTCCGTAACATTTAATACTGTGATTGAACAGAAATATGTCAATGTCAGGTTTGAAATGTTTACTTGACCCCCTCCCCACACCCCAAACCCTCAGCAGCTTCTTAGTAGGAGGAGGGATTTTCAGATTTCCGCTTCTGTTTGTGTTAAGAAGTGCTGCTTTCTGAACAAGTAGGCTGAGATGTTAAAGTTCTGACCATTTGTTCTGGATCCCCACTCCCACCAGGGGAAATAGTCTCTCTCTTCTGACCCTACCAACCCTTTCAATCATCTGAAATGTCTCAATTAACTCACCCTAGTCTTCTATACTTGACAGAATACAGCCCTAAACGATGAAACCTGGCTTTGTAATTTAACACTTACAGAGCTGGTCTCGTTTGAGACGTAGAATAGAAATGTTCACGAGCTACACTTACCTCGGTATAGTATCAGTGAGCGGGGGAGGAAATATTTTCCAACAGCAAAGCTATTTCTTCAGAACAGAAGATCAGGGGTTTTCTTTTGTACTCGTCTGAAGCAGCAGGGACATCATGTGACACTGCAGGCTTTGTTCTGTGAAGGTAAAGGCCAAAGGTTTAGTTACCAGCTTGTGTCTACTTCTTAGCTTCAGATCATTTACAGCAGAGAGGGGGAGAGAGAGACAGAGAGAAAGGGGGAGAGAGAGAGAGAGAGAGGAGTGAAAAGGAGTGAAAAAGGCAGAGTCTTCACAGACTACACTTGGAGAAATGGGAACAAGAGCCCCTCAAAGTCATCTTAAGTAACTTTGTGGCCTGACAAAGAACCACTGATTGAAAACTAGAGGGATAGGTTTATGCACAAAACATACCAATTAGGAGCAGAAATAGCCACATGGCCCCTGAACCTGCCCTGCTATTCATTAAGATTGTGGCTGACCTGATAACTCCTTATTATTGCCTGACCCCTGATAACCTTTAACCTCCTTGCTCATCAGGACTCTACCAATCTATGATGGAAACCGAAAGAACTGCAGATGCTGTAAATACGAAACAAAACCAGAAGTTGCTGGAAAAGCTCAGCAGGTCTGGCAGCATCTGTGAAAAGAAATCAGATTTAATGTTTCCGGTCCAGTGACCCTTCCTCAGAAATGATGGTAGCTGGGAAAATGTTGGTTTATATGCAGAAGATTGGGTGGGGCAGAAGGTAAGGAATACCAGATAGTTGGGGATAGAGCCCAAAGAGAGAGAAGAACAGTTGGACAGACAAAGGAGTTGATAACGATCGTGCTGGGAGGGTGAATAGTTGTTAATGGGGACTGTTAGTGACTAACAACAGGGGGTGTGTAATGGCAGGCTATGTGGTAACAAGGCCTGGTGTGTGGGGTAGGGGGCTGGGACATGGGAGAGTTTAGGCCCTAAAATTATTGAACTCAATATTGAGTCCGGAGGGCTGTAGGGTCCCCAAGTGGAAAATGAGGTGTTATTCTTTCAGCTTGCGCTGAGCTTCGCTGGAACACTGTGGGTTTAACAGTGGATATCAGTGGCCAGTCTATCCCCAGAAATGGAAACAGAGATGTCGAGGAAGGGGAGGGAGGAGTCAGAGTTAGACCAGGTGAAAGTGAGGGCAGGGTGGAAATTGGAAGCGAAATTGATGAAGTTTTCCAATTCCGGATGAGAGAGGGAAGCAGCACCGATGATATCATCGATGTATCAGAGAAAGAGTTGTGGGTGGGGGCCAGAATAGGAGTGGAACAAGGAATGTTCCACGTACCCCACGAAGAGACAGGCATAACTAGGGCCCATGCGGGTAGCCATAGCAACCCCTCTTACCTGAAGAAAATGAGAGGAGTTAAAAGAGAAGTTCTTGAGGGTGAGGATGAGCTCGGCCAAGCGGAGGAGGGTGGTGGTGGGTGGGGACGGTTCAGGTCTTTGCTCCAGGAAGAAGCGGAGAGCCCTAAGACCCTCCTGGTGGGGAATGGACATGTAAAGGGTTTGCACATCCATGTTAAAGAGGAGGTGACCGGAACTGGCAAACTGGAAGTTTTGAAACCTTCGTAAAGTGTCAGAGGAATCATGGATGAACGTGGGTAGGGATTGGGCCAGGGGAGAGAAGACTGAGTCAAGGTAGGAAGAGATGAGTTCTGTGGGGCACGAGCAGGCTGAAACAATGGGTCTGCCTGGACAGTCCTGTTTGTGGATTTTTGGGAAGAGGTAAAGGCGAGCTGTGCGGGGCTGGGGTCTATCAGCTTGGAGGTAGTTCAGGGGGAGGTCACCAGATGAAATGAAATCAGTTACCGTAGTAGACACAATGGCCTGATGCGTCCCTACAAGGTAGAGGTGAGTATGC